CCATACTTCTCCGGCGTACTCTAGCGGCGGTACGATTACGCTCTTCAAAACCGTCAATTTGATGCGTGTATCGAGGTGCCGGTTTGCGAGTATTGGGTGCAGCTTCCCTGCTCGTGCTTTGCCCTTTTCAGCTACCTTGGACATGTGATGGGAGAAAAAAGAAAAAACTACTGCTGTAGACTAGTTCGCCGCAAAAAAACATGATGACAACTTATTTTAAGCTCGTTGCCGTAGGCGATGGGGCAACCCGACCCAGGATGGAGGAAAAAGGTAGCCGGGGGCGGGGGAGATTTAGAAAGAGCAGGGCGGTGCCACAAGTGGTCAGTCCGCTCTCCAAGTTTATCCGTCAGTGGTCGCCCGAGTTCCCATGTTTCCCATGGTCCTCGGAACGATTCCCACAATAGTCTTGTCTATGATAGAAGGATCGATTCTTCCTTCGGCTTGAATGTGTTGCGCAAGGAACAGATCGTTATTAAAAATGTCATGAGAATAGGTGTCATTATATTAATTTGTATCGTGTTTGTTTCACCGTACGCCCTTGTGCTGCTCTCCCCAATTCGTCCCGCCGTGTGGATAAACGTCGTTCCCCGAAATGCGTCAGGCGGTAGTACTGCACTGCCCTACGGCTGCGACGATGAGCGCGACGCACTCGACCAATTTCCACCACAAGCACCACCAACATCGTGCTGGAACAATGTTCTTCAAATCTTCTGCTCCAGGCGTGAATGCCGCCGCAGACACGGCACCAACAATAGAAGTGGTAGAACCAGTAGCAGTAACGACAGCAGCGGCAGCAGCAGCAACGGCATCATCAGCGCCAGCCGCGTTGGCGACGTTAGTCCTCAAAGTTTCGACGAAGGACAGTAGTAGCTCCGCTGGTGCAACTGAAGCTGCATTGATTGGTCTAAACGACACCAACGACGACATCATCAAGAGTAGTAGCAGCAACAACAACGTCAACGGCGATGGCGGCGAGGATAACGCCGATGCCGATACCGATAACACAACTGAGGGGGGGGCGGAGAAGCGTTCGGTAGCTGAGACCAGCAGCAGAGGCAGCAGCGTCGTCAGTGGTAACAGATGGACGAGGAGAAAGAGAGCCGTCAGGTTCTGCACTGTGCTTAAGGTTTACCTCATTCCACGCGCGAAGGACTACAGCGAGAGGTACGATACTGCTCGCGATACGCCGGTTATCCACACGTTTTCGCTCATTTGCCGGACGTTCCTTGTATTGCTAGGGGCAGCCACCCGCCCGACTGGTGGGTGGAGCGGCCAATCCGCGCCCTTGATCGCGGACAAGCCGGGAGTGCATTTGACATTCGACACGCTTGCGCAGAGTTGCTGAAATCGTCACGTTCCCCGGACCTCGCTTTCCGATCCCAGTGACACCAGCAAATGTTGGTGGTCAAGGGCACAGCTCGACCGGAACCTCCGCGAGTTTCAGGAGGCTCGTTTGTTGGAGGCCGTGGCACCGACGATGAGGAGAGCAAGACTAACGGCAACAACGCTGACCACCACCACCACCACCACCCGTATTACGGCAGCCAGCGCAACCAGGAGCGGCTCCGCCGTACTCGGTTCCGCCGTCGCTTTCCGGCGCCGACTGCCGAGGGACCGCTACCGGCAGCAGCAGCAGCAGCAGCAGCTGCAGCAGGGACGGTCGTTCGTTAGGAGTTTTGTCGGCCCCGGTGGGGTGGATAGCACCAGTTGGTGAACATAACTAAGAAATGGCGATGCCCCACCCCCAGAGGTAGACTTCTGATGGTCGCTTGGGTTTTGATTTTCCGGGCGGGTACATAAGGGGGGGCAGCAGCAGCAGCAGTGGCAGCAGCAGCAACGAAAAGCAATACATGTACTCTGAATATATGGGCATGTCGGCGGTTTGATAAAAGGAGGGGAGGCGAAGAAAGTGTTTTTCTATGTCTTTTTCATTTTATTGGCGCCGCGTTATACGACACTGCACCTCGAGCTCCCCGATCGAACGAAGCACAGCTGGTGTATTTCTGACACGTGATCTGGTGTTACGGAAAAGGGCGCAGGCGGGTGAGGGATTACAATCGATCGGAGGGAATACGAAAGGAAGGGGATGGTATTCAAACACAAACCGCACAAAAAGGGTGGGCATGATTGCATGTTGCCGTTTCGCGTTCAATCTCTGCACCTTCTAGCGGAGGGTTGGCGAAAACGGGTTGAATATCTGCCACCTTGAACGAAAAATCGTCCACGTGTGGAACTATGGGTCTGTTATGGAAATAAAGCCTTTGTTCTTTTCAACTTTCGTACATTGGCGTAGTGTAAAATATATGTCTTGCTTCCATTGTAGTACTTGATTTTGTGCAGGTGTGCGCTGGCCTTTTTTTGTGTGCGTGTGTGTTTTGGGTTTGACCGAAGGTGTTCGATACGGTGGTTGTTGATGCGTTTTGTGTTTAACGGCCGGAGGTGGGGGTACTCGTGGTTTCGAATGGTCAAAGGGGAAAATGAGAAGCATTCTGAAGGATGTTCTCAATGACAAGCATTTTAGTTCGTACTCTGCTTGGGCTTTATTGGAGCATATTCCCGGTGGCTTGAATATTTGATGGCTTGGATGCGCACCCCCTTCTCTTCTTGCTCTGTGCATTGTGTGTTTTATCTTACGGTAACCTCATGTGGGCTGCTGTCTGGGAGTACTCTGTTTGCGTTGAAAGTCTCTCGCCGTTGGCTCTGTCGATTATTTCTACATGGCTGACGGCATGAGAAATATTTTTCTACCGTACCGTTCGATTTGATTTCCGCGTCGGCCCTATCAAACTTACATATATGGCTGATGGTGTGAGAGTTGTGTTGCTGTGATTTTAAGTTGTTTTTTACGAGTTGGCCTACCGTGTGACCCGGGCTTACGCGTCCAGAGAAAAAAATCCGAAAGTTGTAAAATAGACCACCGTCCGGACTGAATGGGACGATACACACGCATATATATACACTGTGGTCAACGGTGGTTTCAGTGTTGTGCTGCAGATATCTATCCCCGTCGGCTATATCATATTGTATGTAGTTGATGGAGCAACAGCCTTTGCGGTAGGGTAAGGCTTTCGGGCGGTTCCTACCCGGCTAGACTCTCGTACTGCATGCGCTCGGGTAGCCATGATTAAAAGTTGGAAAGGGGAGGGTGTCACACTCATGTGGCAAAGACTTCCGTGTTTTATCTTCCTTGGTGCAAGACTGATTCACCCCTCTGGTGGAAGCCGTTTTCTATTGAATTGACGAGGGGGGGTTAGAAAAAAATTTCGACGATGTGATGCACGTTTGTTTCGACCGAAGCACGTGTCACGTTTCGGAGCTTGTTCTTCGAATTGTGCTTTGTTTTCTTGTTGCTGAACCGATTCCGCACATGTCGGCGCCAAGCAGAAGCGCATGAGTTGCGTGAACTGGGATGTTTGGGGCACGCCTGCGCGCGCAAAGTACGTTTCATAGGACATACACAGGTGTCATCACCACGTGCAACGTTCGCCCAGAGCAACGACAATGCGTTGCGCCCCCCTAGGCGGGAAAAGTAGAGGTTGGAGCGAGTCATCAATAATAGAAAATGCCTCGAGTGGCTGTTGAACACATGGACGCGATCGGAGGAAAGGAGATCCATTCTGCTTCTAGAACGCGGTTGAGGGCAAGGCCATGCGTCTCTCTCTCTCTCATGAACGCCTATAGTTTATTAGACAAAAACCGAGGAGGTGCAAGAGGAGGAAGAAAGGGTATTTATTGGATTTGAGACAACACAGTTGAGGGGAAGATCCCGTGTTTGTCTGAACGAGTCGTAAGATAGGGCAGGCTGTAGTTCTTGTGTTTTTTTATATTCTACCGATTCCTCAAAAACTTTGAAGGCTGGTCTTCTCGGTTTCATGTCCCGCGTTCGATTTTACAAGAAGAAAGTATTTGGTAGTTAGATACTGTTCTCTTCATAAGATTACGTTTGCAATAATTCTGAGTGGCAAGGACAGCAGCGGCTGTTGTTTTTCGGACGGTCGTGAGTAAGTTCCGTTACCAGTCTCTGTCTTTGTTCTGTGTGCGAACGAGGCCGTACAGGAGCAAAAAAGAGAAACGAGCTGTTCTGATCAAGCCTCGCTGTAGAGATCCGTTGTCCGCGGAACGACGAGCGTCATCCATCGATAAGCTGAAGCGGATGGGACCGGATTTTTCGTTCATAAGAAAGTGAAGACTTGGCAAGAATATTGGTCGGGAGGAATGGGAAGAGAGGGCGGAGGACACCAAAAGAGACCGCCGTGGAACACTGTGTAGGCAAAGGATGCAACGCACGTTGGAGGAACAGCCTGGGGGCAGAAGTACAGGAGTGAAAAGAAGGGACCATAGGCGTCAAGAGAGAACGCCGTCCAGGGACCGTAGGTAGGGTAGCGGAATCCTGCGGCGTGAACGTTCAAACGCGGAAATGGCTTCCCTGATGGAATGCGCGTTTCAGAAGATTTTCGAGTTCCGAGCAGAAACATGGTATATTAGTCGGTACAGCGGGAAAGGATGGGTTGCGCAAAGGCATGGCCATGTGGCGAGGCAGAACCAAGTAGTATTCAGAGGGGATGAGCATCAACCCCTCAGGAAGTTAAGGACGCCTCCTTGTAACGGGATCGGCATACACGGACATGACACGGTTGGTTGCGGTGCGCGAGAACCTACTACGCAGAAGTCGTTGGCATATGCGTGAAGAATCAACGCACGGAACAATATGGGATATGATCAAGCGTTCTACATGGGGTGCTTCGAGGGAGGATAGGAAAATGGGATGAGGAGAACAAAGTCGTTGGTAGTTTGTTTTTTGTCTCCCATCATTGGACTCTGTGGTCTGCCCCTCTGGCTCCTATCCTCCTCTTCTACCAGCTAGACGACCCAACCGGGGTCACATAGGAGGGGGGGGTTGGACCCCCTCCTGCGGTTCCTGCCTGAGATATTGTTATCGCGAGAAGGGTACAGCAATCCCTTCCCTCGCGACTTATGAAGTCGGTCAAGTTTACTAACAACGAGCTTTGCAGCGCGTCGTTTCCAGGATTTCATTAGCGAGAAAAAGCTCACTCTGTCGGGACTCGAACCCATGACCTGGCCCTCAGCAGGCTGCGAGGCTACCCACTATACAACCGGGGCGACCGGTGTAGTATGCAGGTGTGTATTAGACTATGTGTCAGAAATCTAGACTATGTTTTCAAAGACTATCAGAACGTTGACGGGTTCTTCTGCTAGGGAGGAGGCACGATGCTTCATCTCGAAGGGGATCGAGCTCAACTGTCGAATGATAATCAAGAAAAGACACGATGAGTCTCGTTCGTCGCCTGAGCTGGTGCACACGGTCGTATGGACTTTGCTGGTGAAAGAGAACGCTTCGGGTGTGATCATAAGAAGGGCATGCGATCATTCCGTAAGAGCAATCAATAAATCACCCCGGAGTGTCTTTTCGACACGCACGAAACACCTTTGCCGCAGACTCTTGCGCTGGGACCCGCTATGTCGGAACTAAACAAACCAATGAGAATTTAACGACAAATGTAAGGGCGATTGGGCCAGCTTCCCCTGGTCGCCGCAGGGCGAATATCTGCGAACGCTCCCGAGGGGCGGTCACAGAAACAAGGTGGTAAAGAACGCGGGGCGAACTGATAGATATGTAGGCTGAAAAAAACAAACCAAAACAAACCAGAAAGATGCGGGCGTCAACTCAATTTTGGGTGATTCGCTGACCTTAACTTGGGTAATAGCAAGTTTGGTGAGGCAGATATAGCCGATGTAGACTACTGTTTATTGAAACGGTCGAATTTGCCAGAGGCGTTATTGTTCCTGTATTTCGGGGTATCAGGTTGAGAAGAGTCCTTTTGGGATGGTCACTTTATCGGAGAGTTCACGTGCAGGAGAAGGCTCGCTGGACAGCGTGGAATAGCAGATTTATACAACAGCAGTACGTGAACTCAGAGAGGGATAGCAAGGATTGGCCAGATTGGGAGGCCAAGAAGTTGCGTTCTT